CTTTTGTGCCAGCATATTTGCATATATCACATTCATTCTGTCTGATAAAATGTAAGTTTTAATGGGCCTGTGAGCAGGTATTTATTCACCTTTTTTCCTCTATTCTTCATTATCAATTCACTGTCATTGAGTCATTGAGACTGTTCTGTGGTAATTTCTCATTTAGTTTCCATTTAGTCTCTTCTAGAACATGTTTGCTTGGGTCCACTACCCTGCTTAAAAACCTTAAAGACTTCTTGGCTTGGCATTCAAGGAACTTAGCAATCTGGCACCTACTTACTTTTCTAATTTATCTCTTAGTATCTCTCTCTTTTTTCTATAAGCCAAGCCATAGCCAGCTTCTTTTCATTCCCTAAAACCTACCATACTTTTGTTATAATTCTGTGCCTTTATTCACACTCATTCTCCAGCCTGAAATACTTTCACACTCGTACCTGCCGGTAAATTCTTACTCTTCCTTTCAGATGCTGCTCAAGTACCACTTCGTCTCTGAAGCCTCCCTGATATTCATCTCTGTCCATTCCAACAACATTAATAGCTTCTCTTCTCTGCTTTCGTAGTATTTTAAAATTACCTTTGTGAGCACTTATACTGTTTTATAATTTTCTATTTATGTGTCTATTTCTCTCCTTGGACCAAATTCCTTAAAAACAAATGAATAACATTTGTTATTATTCTTTTTTATACCCTATCACAATGCTAGGTACATCTGAAATTTGTCAGAAGTGTTTGCTGAATTAATGCATAAATAAATGATTACTGGGCACATTATAGAGTTAGCCAGAGTTCCTCCTTAGGGAGAACTTTATATATATACAAACCCACACCAATCACCTACTCATTCACTCACATAACCCTTGGAATTTACCCAGGAAGGGGGCCTCTCTAGGATTAGTTCAGGACCATTGCCATAGGCCATGATGGTTAAACTGGCCTGCTTTCCAACCCACCTGGAAAAACTCAAGTCTCTGTCTTCTCTTTAAATCATTTAAATCACAGATTCCTAAGGAGATCTTTGCCTTGGCAATTTCTATTTTTACCCCATAGACTAACTATCTTTCTTTATCTAACTGAAAGTTTGCCTTTACACAAACTGTGATATGGGAGACGAAGGCTAAATTAATCAATCCACACCCCCTCGGGGAGGTTGGAGAGAGCAGGAATTCTGGAGTACTGAGGACTAGTGCTTTCCCTTGGTGCCTAGTGCCGTGCTGTTGACCTCCTAGCCTTTCAGTGACTGCTGTTTAGGAGTGCTGTTGCTGATAATCAAAGACTCTTGGTCAGCTGGAAAGCATTATTCTCCAGGTACAGAGCTGTGGGTCTAGGCTTCTTCCAGTTGCTTTCCATGAGAAGGCACATCATGAACACTGAACTCACAAATGATTCCTCTGCTATTAAAAGTAAAAGAAGCTACCTCATAGAATTGTGAGACATTCCCTGGGACAATTCTGGATTCTGACACAGAGCGTTGGCTATTTTAGAGTGAAGTGCCTTTTTTTTTAACTTGATGTTATTTTCGAAAATGAATGAAGCAGTATGAAGTCATGTTTGACATGTAGATTTTAAAGTTAATTATAACAGAAAAGGGATTTTAGGCTTCAAATATTCTGACTAATAGCATACCTTCTGAAAAAAAATTCTATAGTATTTTATAGAATTTTCCTTATGTTTAAAAGGGCTTTCATAATATACAATCTCCATTTGTAAATTTCTGAATTTATACACACATATCTAGTCATCTATATTTTTACTGCTGTGATAATAATTCCCTAACTATTTTGTTTCATGAAGCAAAGTTTAGGGAAGTTAAGGACACTTTCTAAATATTCTTTTGACTTTGTGGCCTCTTAATGCTTTCTTAAAATTCTGACTCTGATAAGATATCAGGTCAAGTTTAAAAGTGGTTTGAAACCCTTGTCTCCCTGGATGCCTCTTCTTCTTCCCAAATCTTGGTTCATCAATAAAAATTCCTAGTTTAGCTTAGGATGTCCCCATATATTTTTCAGTCGACTCCCCTTGGAAGAGAGAAGGGGAGGCAAGAAAAAGATGTGCAAGTGCCCTGGAGTATTTTCTATTTTCCCTTTCTTAAATCATGTTTCTATACCATGTACTCTACTTGGATTTCTCAATTTCTGGGAGCGGTCCTGTGAGTCCTAGAGGTCTGCTGTGTCACGTCGGTGTCAGTCAGTGTCACGTAGACAATATGTGCTATGGGAGGAAGGGGCAAGGTCAGTGTAGGGCAGTTGGTGGAGTGGGACCTGAGCTCTGTTCCTTGGAAAAGGTAGATTTTAGTAAGGTAGAAGAGAGTAGGAAGGACATGCTAAAACTACAGTACGGATGAAAGGGAGGGAAGTTAGATCCATATGTGACGCGTCTGGGAGAATCAATTGGAGTGGAGTAGACGATCTGCTAAAACTAGAGTCTAAAGTCCACGTGAGCTCTGCCAGTCTGTGGGAGATGAAAACTTCCCGTTCACAATGAAACACGTCTTTTAAATGAATAAATAAATGGAAGCTGACTATTTGGTTTTGCTGGAGGTAGAGAGAAAGCTATGACAGTAAAAGCAGATCTCAAATGTTAATCACCTGTGGCATAGTAGTTAACTTAGAATAATATTGAAATGTTTTTGCATCTGACACTCTCCACAAGCCTGTCTCCTTTTATGTGTATGCATGAAAGTATATAAATTGCTGAATCCATGTCAGTTGTGAAGTAATGGCACTGAGGGCATCATAAATTACCATGGTGATCCTCAAGCGAAGACAGTGTCGTCTCTGAATGAGTATTTCACTTCCAGAGTAATGTATGCCTTCATCTGGCCCAGCAGTCAGCATATTGCCCTGTGTTGATGGATATTGTCAGCTGGAAGCTACACTACATTTCACTGCACAATAAACATGGCTGTCAAACCCATATAAAGTGAAATCAATTTATCCTGTATGGTCAGTGCATTTTAAATGAAATTAATGTACTGTGGGTATGGTGGCAAAGAGGTAGCATATTGGTTGTGCATCTTGGGATCTGAGGCTTCTCATGTAAGGGATGGTTCTGTGTAGTGGGCCTAAAAGAAGAGCTGTTTATGGGATATGTTATTTTCACACGGTCTTCAGAAAGCGGCCCCGTGCCCGCCCCCATGTTTACAAAAGAATTGAAAGGGTGAGCCGATTCAGCCTTTTTATCCTGTCTTTTATTTGCAATAAATGATGACCATATTTGCCAAATAATAGTGCACTTTATTGTTCTAATTTATTACTAGCTCTGACACAAACAAATTTCTACTTAATCAAGGTATCTAGGAACAGGGTAGAAGGGCCAGAGATTGACTGGGAAATGCTCCTGTATAATCACTCCACTGAGCTGGATTTACTTTTCCCAAAAAGTAGAAATGTTGGTTTTAATGTATATTTTGCTTCTAAACTTTTGGGAGTAGGTTTTCCTGTTTATGCGGTAGAAGCCCTGGCTGAGGCCATCAGTCCAACCACTTTACATTTAACCATAGAGGTTCTCAATCTGGAGGGTGATACTTAGCAGCTGCCACAATGCAAAGCATACATCAGTGTGTCATGCTGGTAGGGTGCAGAAAACAAGCAAGAGCTATGTCCATTCATCCATTTATTCAATCATTCATTACTTTACCATATTTTACTAATTGAAACTCTATATGCCAAGCGCTTTACTGGAACCTGGGATACGGCAGTGAATGAGAGCCAGTTCCTGCCATATCCTCAAGGGGCTTTCAATCTAGCATGTTACTGGAGTCACCTCTTTGGAAACTATAAAATATCAGGAATTTAGACCTAGTTTCTTAGAGGACTGTTTAAGAACTACCCTTAAATGGCAGAAAAAGATACTGGGACCCTTGAAATGAATGCCTGTTAGTCTACTACTTTTGCATATGAGTTGAAAACAAAACAATCTTTTACTTAATAAATATTTATTGAGTATCTATTATGTGAGAAATCCTGGGGATCTAAGAATGAATACAACGTAAACACTAACTTTAGGGGTCTCATGTTCCTGGGGATGGAATGGGAAGATTAGAGAGAGAGTCACATAAACAAGTAACTACTTTGGAGCATGGAGCATAAAAGAAAGGAATGAATGTAGCCTGGAGAACATCATTGCAGATGCTGTTCCTTTGGCCTGAATTACTCTTCCATCTGTCTTTACTGCCCTCCTCTATTCATGTGCTAATTCCTGTTCATCCTCCAAGACTCAGCCTAAGCATCACCCCTCCTAGGAGGCATCCGCTGACTATCCTGTGAGGTGTCCTCTTAGTGCCCTGTTCACCTCAGTGTCACAACACTTCTCATACTCTCTGTTATAATTGTCTCTTTGGGATGGGTCTCCCCTCTGAACTGTGAGCTCCTTAAAAGCAGGGGCTGTTTTATTCACCTTTGTATCCCTAGCACCTGGTGTAAAGCCTAACTCGTAGTAATTGTTCAATTGGTACTTTTCATTGAATTAATTCATTCATTCATGAATCACACCACATTTGAATAGGCCTTGAAGGATGAGTGTGAGTTAGCATGAAGAATTAGGAGAAGGGCCTCCAGGCAGTGAGAGGAGCACTGGCCAATGAACAATATTGTGAGAGAGAGTTCTATTTGAGGCAAAGAGATAGTTTGAAGTGGCTGCAATTGTTGGCAAATGAGGGTATAATGATAGGTAAGAGTCTGCTCTTGAAGGGAGGAGTCACAGCAGGAAACCTTACCATAAAACGATGCCAGTCATTGCTTTATCATCATCTGGAACTGATTGCAGTAAAAATGTGCTAGGCGTATAAAAACATGCAAAATTAATTCTGCCCAGTGTGTCTTTGAGGCCTACATCAGAAGGGCCTGTAGAATTGTCATTTGGAACTGTCTTCTGCTTCCAAGAGGTCACTTAAAAGGAGGGAAATTGTAGGAAAAACAGCTGAACCAGGCGGCAAGCTGTGTTACATTATCCAGATAATAATGCTTTGCACCCATCTTGTTCTTCCTGCCCTGACGTTACAGGAAGTAAAGCAATGAATGGCTCTGCAGCTAAACTACAGCAGTATTATTGTTGGCCAACAGGAGGTGCCACTGTGGCTGAAGCGCGAGTCTACAGGGATGCCCGTGGCCGGGCCAGCAGCGAGCCACACATCAAGCGACCAATGAATGCATTCATGGTTTGGGCGAAGGATGAGAGGAGGAAAATCCTTCAGGCCTTCCCTGACATGCATAACTCCAACATTAGCAAAATCTTAGGTGAGTGCAGCCGCTGATGCTGATCTTCTACCCCATGAGTGGAAAGCATAATTTGACATCCAAGGGAGCCTGTGGTTTGCAGAAGTTAGATGTGTAGTTCAGCAAACTGCCTCAGGAGACTTAGTCGTCATGTCTGCGTCCCCCACCCCACAATGTGGCATTTAGGTTTAGGAGTTATTACATCCACCAGGTACCAGGGCAGGACTGACTAAAAACATAGAGACAAAACTATTTATAGTATGTGTTAATACTGTGAATTTGGCAACTCTGAGAGGTCACTGCTCCACAGGAATCATGGAGACAAGCGTTATCACCTTTTCTTATTCAGTCTTTTTAAATTCATCAGTTGCTGTGAAACCTGGGAAACACTCATAGACCCTACGGTTTTCTGCATCAGTGGTCTTGGCTTCATATGGCTCCCTGAAAGAACTCATCAAGGACTAGGGGTGAGGCCCCAAATAGTGTGAAATTCATGGAGTGTAGAACAGTGCCTCTAATGATAACTTTAAAACTTGTAAAATAAAACTCCATTTACTTTAATAAGATATGACTAGTTCAAATTTCATAGCAGCGAGTTGAACACATGGACCACAGAGCAGAGGCCCGTTTTGTGGTGAATTGCCAGAGTGGTTCTCTTGTTCCTCAGGATTAAACTGAAGCCTTGTTCTGTTAGTGTAAAGCTTGCCCAGTGCAGATTATACAGTTTGGAATTATTGTGCTCAACATGTCGAACATATTTTATTCAACATGCAGCATTACAGTCAACATGTTTCCTCTTTAAAAAGAAAAAACACAGAAGGCACTGTTCTGTTTAAGCTGTCATGATGTGACAAAATCTCAAAGGGAGCCGTTTAAGAAGCCGAAAAACATTAGAGACTTAAACTGTGGTTTTCGTTTTTTAAATGTTTTGTTCAAAAGCAATAAATATTTAACCTGAGTAAATATCAGTGATCTGGACGTACGCAAATACACATGTTTTGTCACTGTATAAATAATTTAACTTGATTCTGAGACATTTTGAGCCAGTGACCTCTAAGAAAATTTAAAACATACAGAAGATCAAATAGCGGTGAAATTTTAAAATACAAGTTTTTCCTTTCGACTTTTGAATCTCAAGATGGATACTAAGTATTACAATTAAGTGGGGTTTTATTTTTAGAGGTTCAGGGATGTGCATAGGTGTATTTTTTTTAATTGAAATACCTTCAAACCAAAATGCTCCTAATAGACATATTAAAATTTTTTTCTAATTAATAGGCATTCAAAAGAAAATCAACGTTTCTCTGTCCTTAAAGTTTGATATCTAACTTTGCAATTTTTAAATTTTTTTGCCGTTTTGGTAGCAGTATGAGAGAGCTCTCAGATGGGCACAGAACCTCCCTGTTTCCATTTTGGCAGCTGTGGGGAATCTATATTATTGGTGTGATTCTGTGAAAAAAAAAATTATTAAGAGTATAGTAAGTGCATTCATTAAAATGTAAACTTTTAAGCGCAAGCATTTCGAGAGCACCGAGAATCCTCTGTGAAGTGGGGCTTTCAGCTGCTGGGAGCCTGGCACACAGGGGCCTGGCCCAGAGACTTTCTGCACAACAATCAGCAAAGAACAGGGATTGGTGTGCTCTTAAAGCAGACCGGGATATTGCTGGCTACAGAGAATATTTGTACAGCTTTCCCATTTGTTTATGTATGAAAAATCTCCACTGAAGAATAGCGAACATCCAGTCAGCACAGCTGTTACCGCTTTATTCACCAGCGAGACACAAAAATGCAATTTGATACATGTAAAAAAACACATCCCTTCTTCGTCAAGTGTTTAGATAATTCTTTATAAACAATATTAGAGAAGTGAATACTTTTCCTTCTTCCTGTGTAAACCATATTAAAAATTTTTGTACTTTCATTGGTACAGCTTTGAATGAACGTTTATGGTACTTGAAAATGGTCTATATAATTCCAGCGATGCCTTCCGGTTCTAAGCTATAACTTCTTTAGTAGAGTTTAGGCTTTTTAATTATCCTGGGCCTGGGGAGACAGTGTGCACAGTAGGTTTTTATACATGGAAGGCTATCAACATCTGCTGACATGTTATCAAAGGATAGCTTCACTAAAGATGCTTGGAGTGTGGGAGGTGTTTAAATTTCTGGAACCAAGAGAGCTTGTGCAGAATCCTGTCGTACCTGAACATCTGCTTAGGGAGTTTAGGTTTTCAATCCTCTTGAGAGAAGCAGACAGATACAGTGTAGGAGATGGTCTTTAAGTAGCAAAGACATGTTTTTAAACAATATACTTATTGTAGCATCAGCTTTAAATTATTAGGAGAAATAATATAATAAATGTATCAAAAATTATCAAAATTGTTCTTTGCTCTATGGTCTAAAAGACTAGTTGTGAGGCTTAGTGTCTATGGTAGTAGGAGCTACTCGAGCACAGGCGAGTGAAGCGATGGGAAGGTCTATCTAGTTGTTTTTGCCGGGAACGTGTTCCTTGACCACTTGGGTACTTGACTATTTTTCTGTCTAGGGTCTCGCTGGAAATCCATGTCCAACCAAGAGAAGCAACCTTATTATGAAGAGCAGGCCCGGCTAAGCAAGATCCACTTAGAGAAGTACCCAAACTATAAATACAAACCTCGACCGAAACGCACCTGCATTGTTGATGGCAAAAAGCTCCGGATTGGGGAGTATAAGCAACTGATGAGGTCTCGGAGACAGGAGATGAGGCAGTTCTTTACTGTGGGGTAAGTGTTGCTGAATTTAGCCACCTAGGCTTTCCCTTCCCAGTAAGAAACCGCAGGATGGCTCCTGGCAGTGTGTTTGGGAAGAAGATTAGGGAAGGAGGAGGTTGTGACATACCGAAGGGGCTCGGCTATGGCAATCTTTGCAGTGTCACAAGCACACAGCCTTGAAGCATGGCTCCTGCTCAAATCAAAACAAACCTACAACAGATCGCTCCCAACTGATCATCCCTTTCATTGTCTTCCAAACTCATCTAAGATGTTCAGTGCCCACACACACAGTTTCTGGTAGTTTATTTACGCAGACACACAAGGAGAAAAAATAAAAACTAACCTTAAGAAATCCCCAGAAGCTTTCCAGCTTCTCTGGGTGGTGCTTCTGACTCTAATCACAATAGTCTGCTTTTGTTGTGGGATCTACCACAAGATAATTGGCCTTGACATTGGTTAGAGGACCTCATTTTTGGCGTAAGATACAGAACTCCTGTTGCAGTAAATTATTCTGTGGTGCAAGCAGTAACAATGTGGATTTTCTTGCTTAAATCAGAAACTAGACATGTTTTTGATATCTTCAAGTCTGATTTCATGTCATTTTGTTTAAAAATTAGGTAATAGATTTCTGGTATAAATTTCGACTTGGCTGACTGGCTGTCTGCATTTAAAGGAGGCCCCTTGTAACCACAGTAGTCAGGATAAGTGGGGACGCAGATGCCTCTAGGTCCCAGCACTCCTAGACCGAGAAGCTCGGGGAGATGGCAGACCAGGGGACCATTCTGGAGGCACTGGCCTGAGGCAGCTGGAGTCAGATTGGAGAGACACTTGGGAAAGGGCTTGAGAGAGAGAAGTGAAGTAAGGAAAAAGGAAGCTGTATTCACTGTGAACCAGAAGGAGAACTGAGGAGCTGTGCTATGCCAGGGAAATAGGAAAGCCTCACTATAGGTGAAGAAAAGAAATGCCTTAAAGGAGAAGGAAAGAATTATTCATTTTTAAGGACACTCAAAAAATAACCTCATGGAACAAAAAGCTGGCTTTAAAAGCATGTGTTTAAAAGCATAAAGTTAATTTGGAATAGTAAATAGTCAAAAATACCAAAAAAAAAAAAACGGCCCATTAAAGCAGCCTCGTCATGAGTCTATACAATGCGCTCAAGGGTTAGAGGAGGAGCATGGGCTCTGGAGAGTGACGGCTGAGCTTCAGACACTGACTGTGCCGCCTACTTGGGCAAGTTCTTTAACTTCTCTAAGCTTCTGTTTTCTCATGTGTGAAATGAAACAAATAATAGTACCTATCCCATATGACTGTTGAGAGCGTTTAATGAGGCACTGCTTTTAAAGGTCCTTTGTATAGTAGTTAGTACAGTATCAATAAATAAAGGTGAGTTCCTATCATTGTCATTACTATTAAGTATGGATTTACTATCACAGTACAACTACATTTTATCACATTAGATAATCATTGAATTTCTTTACACAGTGGCAGAACCTTTTCGAGGTAAAGAGAGGCTTAAGCCTCCCTGTTATTTGAGGATCCCAATATATTACCAGATGAAGATGTGCCAAAATAGGATTATCACATTTTTCTGTATTATAAATGTTTTCATTTAAAAAAGTAATACTTTTAACACCAAAAGTACAATGCAATATAATTGAACTATTTACATGCTAATTAGGGGATTTACGAAAAATACCAATTCATGGTGCACTTTAGGAAGTATAGTTGTATGTAACAAAATACAGATTTAAGAGTGTGATAACTGTCTTCTTTTAATCCTGCTGGCATATTTCTACGTGTAGTCTCTTTGAAGAGAGAATGGAAAGTTTAAACTGGAGAGCCTTTATGGCTCCCACCCTTCTCTCCAGTCGTGGCCCCTGTGTATCTAGGGATGCAGAATGGGTCTCCTTTGTCATAGTCTGGAAGGCTATCACAGGTGCTGTTTTAGTTCCCTGATGCTTATTTGAGAATATGAGATGCAGTAATTCTATTTAATTTAGTCCTCTTTACCAAAGGATGTATTGAAACATCTCTGGATCAAAATACCTAAACACATGGCAATGCATGTAAAATAAAAAACTCAGTAGCATCTACCATTTATTGTCTACTGTATACTAGGTATTTTAGATATACAAATCACATAATCTTCTAAATAAGAAATGGAGTCTTCAGGAGGTCCAGGGCCGCTGAAAGATGAGAAAGCACGAGTCTCCGTCCAGGTCTCTGCCCCTGTCGCGCCGGCTGCCTGAGGAATCGTCCCGACCACGCTGCCTCAGAATACGCCTCACAGCCCTCTTCTGGCACACTCACGAGCACGGCTGTGCTATTTGAGGAGGAGCTCCTAGAACCTAGAGAAAAGAGGGGCTTCGATTGTGGTGTGTGGTGGCATAAAAAGAGCTTTGAAATTTAGAGACTGTGGATTCTGCTCCCGGTAGTGTAGGAGGTCCTATAGGGAAGGATGCTTTTGGACTGTGGAACAGGGCTACAGATGTTCAGGACGTGACCAGAATGTCTTATTCTTTAATCTTCAACTCTGACTACTCTCCTTTGCGTTGGTAATACTTGCTACATAAAGCCAGGTATTATTTCCACTTAAGGATTCATGTTTTGTTTTAAGTAGTTGTATTTGATAGATTATTAACTCCCGAGGGTTCATCTTTGGAAATTGATCTTTCGTAGACATGAGGCTATTACAAGAGGGAAAAACAAACAAGAAATTTAAAGATTGCTATTGACTTCTTGAGGGAATGGGGTGAGATCAATTTTTATAGCTGATTTTGAAAAGACATGCATAACTTTCAAGCCAATAAAATTACATATAGTGCTCAAAAATGTCATGCATTTTACCAACGATACAACTAGAAGTTCAGTGAGTTAGTTTTTTTACTTAGCTATTATGAAATGAACTTACCAATAAGAGGAAATGGAGTAAGGTTAGCTCTTACCTTGGATTTAACCCTTTGATTGACAGGTTATCAGAATTTTGTAATAATTCTGATGAGTACTGTTAATGTTGAAATGATACTCATTAAGGTGCATATAGCTACAATGCTGTCTTTTCCCAAAGAACTATGGCCGAGTGTACTTCCATTTATTTGAAGCTTATTCAATAATTCACCTGTGAACTAATAGAGAATTATTCAGATATTATAAAATATTAAATTGGGGGCTACTTTTTAAGTAATATTAATGGTAAATTATTGAATACTTACTATGTGCTATAATACTGTACTGAGTAAATTATATAAATTATTGCAAATACAACAAATTTACAAGATAGGCAGTATCTTCCTCACTATGGGGTTGAAAAACACAATGTTCAGGGATGTTAAATAGTTTATCCAAGGCCACACAGCTAGTAAATTGCAGAGCCGAGGTTTAAAGCAGGCTTTTGTGAATGTGAAACGTATGTCCTTTTCACCATTACACATACCTCTCCATTAGAGCCTACAGATTGTTTAGAGGCTGTACAGCGTAGTGGTTAAGAACATCAATTCTGGAGCCAGACTGTTCTGGCTACATCTGCTTCTTCCTGGCTCTAGGTGCTAATGCATAGCCATCTTTATTTCTCTGGACTCTCCACTTGCCCTTGGGAAACGTCAATTCTCTGTACCTCGGTTTCCTCATATATAGAATAGGGATGATAATAATACATAAAACATTGGAGCCTTCTAAAGATTGGTTAATTTAATATATCTAAAGTGCTTAGAACCGTGTCTGGCATATAGTAAGGCCCAAATTAGTGTAAATATCATTATTCTAGAAAAATAATGCCATGTGCCAAGGATATATTCATATTATAAAGAATTATATTCTACTGCCTTAAGCTATAAGTGATTTGAACAATTTGCCATTTTGATCTTAATTCTAAAGAGGTTGAATCAAACCTGTAAGATAATATAATTGATTAGCATAGACTAGCTGCACTATTTTCAGTATTGTCCTCCTGAAGAGAAAGCTGGATTAGAATCTCTAACGGGTAACGTAAAAAGATTGCTATTATTTCCATTACTTATTGCAATATCAGCTACAGAGATGTGCAACAAATAGGCTTATCTCCTAATGAAACAGACTTTGTTGCCTTCATTTATAGATGGTGTAAATGTCTGAAGGATCAGCAAACAGGGAAGCTTTGCCAACATGAATGTGTAATTCTGCTGCAATTGGCAAAGCTACACTATATTCCAGAAATACTCTTGTGATTTTGAAACCATGCAGCAATGCTGGCCTCTATCAGGGTCAACTTACACTCTTTACTGAAGCTGGGGGGTAGGGTTCTTAGCCATTTCTGCTCATGTCAGCTGTGTGTGTATACTTTTACAAACATCTACAACTTCTGTTTTGATGTGCACATTTATTATTTGTAAAGCCCAATACTTGCCAGCTATTCCTGTTTGTGAAATCTGCAGTGTTTGAATTTTGACTTTGCAATTGATCTGTAAAGGAAGGAAAAATGCTTTTTAGGAAAGTAATTTCCGATAGACAAAGCTTGAGTCTGCTGGCTGGATTTTCCATTTTGTTAATTGATTAGTCAGTCAATTGGTAAGGGCCTATTTGAAACTAACTATGTGCCCAGCACTGTACTAAATTAATATAGTACATGAGGCATTGATTCTGTACACAATGAGCTTTCGGGGAATGCTGTAGTCAGAGAAGCCAGACACTTACATGAATAGATAAGCAAATAATAGTTTGTTATACACACATACATACAGAGAATACATTGCATTGTGCTGCACATAATGTATAATGAAGTAGTAATTTTGTTTTTATAGACAAGAGCAAGTAAAGCTCGGAAGAGGAGAGATTACTATGCATTAGGTCCAACCAAAGGCTGTCCTTGAGGAAGAGGACTTGAGGTTTGGGTAGGGTCAGGCAGGTGGAAAGTAGGGGTAAAGACTCCTATTTTAGCAAGAAGGAGAGTGGGGGAAATGTGGAAGTGTTCAATAATAAAGGAGGTGAGCCTATGAATTTTCCCTGGCAGTAAAGAAAAGTAAGATAGGCATGGTACG